CTTCCTGTAGTCAGCCGCTGGTCAGTTTCAGCAGCGGCTGAATCTGGACGCCAGTTCCCACTTACATACAGATTCAACTTAAGAACAAACCTACAGTCCCTATCTTGTACGTAACCCGGGGACTGCCTGTACTGGATTCTAATGTTCTAATGTGATACCTTTGTTTCCTGCACGACTTGTAAAATGTAGTCCTTCGTTGACTTCTTATGACAGCTGTCAGATTGCATTCTTTTCAAAACATTCAGTTACGTATGTTTTATGGTAAACAATATCTGTATCCTATTTCACACATTGAAATAGTTATTTCTCTTTATACACGAGGAAAAACAAATGACAAAAAATACTATTTTAAATCTGTATTTAGAAGCCTGAATATTCAGCACTGCTTATGCTTTTTGTGCTGCTCCAGTGAAACAAAGGAACTCAAACAAATAGCTAAAGATTCTCATCTGGTCATTCTAGCCAGCTTTGCACCAACTGCTTCTGCCTCCACCCCATCATAAGAGGTGGAATGAGGTGTGGCTAGAGTACATTGTTCTTTAGCAGTGCTGAGACACTGGAATGGCTAATAGTTCCAGAGCAAATTAGAGATGACTGCTCTACTTGCACTGAGAGTTGAATTAGCTCCCACTACCCTCAGGGTCAGGCAGGGGAGATCCAGAAAAAAACAACACATTCCATATACATGTATGTACAAGTGTGCACACACATGCACCTGATCCACTGCATGTTGCAGCACCATATTGGAGGATCTAGCTCATAATTATCTTTCTGTAGCATCAGAGATGTTACCCAGTATTGACCTGTTTGTCAAATGTACAGAATAAACAAATCCTTGCACCCCAAGAAATTCAATTTTAAGGTACAGGGCCAGTAAAATATGATACAGAATGGAATTTAGTCTATATACCTGGAATGCTTGTTTTAAAATATGCTTTCTTGTGAAGGGTTCCTTGAACGAGAACCAAAAGATTTTCTTCATTTTTAAGTCTTATTTATTTCGACTAGTTTTTGGCTGCTCGTCAGAAAATAACTTCTAGTTAGTTTGGAGTAAAATGTACTTGCCTAGTTTCTTAGATATTTCTAGGGGTACATCTATACTGCAACGCTATTTTGGGAAACCATAATATCCCAAAATAACTATCCTACATCTTCACCACAGCAAGCTGGTTATTTCAGGCTTGCTATTCTGACATCCCTATAAACCTCAATCCACGAGGAGTAAGGGCCATTTTGGAATAGTGCTTTATTTCAAAATTTGGTGCTGTGTAGGCGGCACAAATGTGTCACAGATGGTACTTAGTCCTGCTATGAGGGCAGGGGACTGGACTTGATGACCTCTCAAGGTCCCTTCCAGTTCTATAAAGAAAGAAAGGTGGGGGGGGGGGGGGGGAAAGAATGTTGAGGGCCAGGACTGCAGGATGCAGAGAAAAAAATTGAGTCAGTGCAGATGGAGAATCTCCTCAGTTGTTGAGTTAGCCTAGGCTGGGAGTGCTGGTTACTGTCTTTGTGAGGCTGTACTCACTCGAAAGTTGCCCAGAGGCAGGAGAAGACTGCAGCACTGGATTGAGGGCCAGTCGGCCACTGCTCTCCACATCACTCCCTGCCAGACATGGTGTTCTGCAGATGGGCCAAAAAGAGCCAACTTCTCTTAATCCAAGTCTCGCTACATCTCAGCCACGTGGACATCAACTTCTGCATTCACACAAGCTCGGAATTGGGTGTACCTGATGGCTGTGTCTACATTGGCACCCCTTTCCGGAAAAGGGATGCTAATGTAGACTTTGGAATAGGCAAATCCGCGGGGGATTTAAATATCCCCCGCGGCATTTGCATTAACATGGCTGCCGATTTTTTTCCGGCTTGGGGAAAAGCTGGAGAAAAGCGCCAGTCTACACGTTATTCTCCGGAAACTAAAGCCTTTTCCGGAGGATTTCTTATTCCTACTTTCAAGTAGGCATCAGGATTTCTTATTCCTACTTGAAAGTAGGAATAAGAAATCCTCCGGAAAAGGCTTTAGTTTCCGGAGAATAACGTGTAGACTGGCGCTTTTCTCCAGCTTTTCCCCAAGCCGGAAAAAAGCGGCGGCCATGTTAATGCAAATGCCGCGGGGGATATTTAAATCCCCCGCGGATTTGCCTATTCCAACGTGCTACATTAGCATCCCTTTTCCGGAAGGGATGCCAGTGTAGACGTAGCCATATGGTTTACTCATGCCTGCACTGTCCCTTGAGGGTGAATTTTCACCATCAGTGATCTGCATCCCCAAGTTACACTGGTGGAAGCTGCTGAATCAACCTCCCATTCCCACAACTTCAGCATAGAGAGAGAAAACGGAGAGGGAAAATCTCCTGTTGCTGGCTGTTGCCCAAAGCAGGGTAGCACATCGGCTGAGCATATGTAGGAAAAGATTTGGCAAACTGTAGAAATGAGCTAATCTTTTTTTCTTTCTGCACATGATCCAAAATGAAACCCTGAACTGTTACTAGCAGATCGTAGCCAAGCTTTACTTGGCCAAGCAAAGACTGAGCCAGGTGCAGGCAATACTGCTCTCCAAGCTTCATAAGGTTCATTCTTTCACATCCTATAGTTAGCTGTCACTTGCCTACTATGGTCAGCCATCTGCTTTAATATTTATACATGGCCTGCTTTATGACGCAGGAACATTGACTAGTGTTGATGAAAGAATCACACTGCAAAGTGGAGCTAGTTCTGTCTTCTCCGGTCTCCTTTCTGCTGTATTTGTAAATCTTACAGCCACCTGTTATAAAAGACAAAGCTCTCAAAACAGGAGTCAATACAAAGTATAAAGCCATTTTTATCAAAAGGTCAAGTATCTGAGTTACTCTTTAATTTATTTGGGCTTCGACTTTTCTGGAGCACCCTTTTCTTCCAAATAATGCAAGTCTGCGCTCCTCTGGACAAATCCTGATGCCATTTGCTAACTCACCAGTTTGGTGTGTCAATTTAGCCTGTAGTAAGTAACCTAATAAAATTGGTTCATTAAACAAATTGAAATACAGCTTGAAACAGAGAACCAGCTTTGATGCTTCTTTGTGTCATTCTCCCATTCCCCCCATTTTTGTGTATAATCCTTTATAATTAATTATATGTTGACTTGAGATGATGAGGTCTTCAGGACAGGGACAAGGTTTGTTTCTCTGTAACAGCACGTATGCTTTCAGGTGCCCAAATACTGTGAAAGGAATGGGATAATTGGCCCTTCAAAACTTTCACCCCAGTCTATAAAAAGTTAGATTCAACCACATGAAGATTTATTTCCCTGAACCTCTTTTAAACAGCTTTCTAGTTTTCAGCATCCCCCACCTCTGCCACACACACTTTTTAATATTTTCCCCTCATCATACCAGTAGCAGCATCTAGTGGCAGAAGCAGCTCATGACAACTCTCTGCATTAGGAAACCATACCAGCTGCATGAACACTTTTACCACTTCAGTATTTCCCTTTGCGATCTTTGTTATTTGCTGGTGTTCAAGTCATTTCTCTCAGGATTTCTGGACGCTGCTTTTATTCCTAGTGGTTCTTTCTGAACCAGAGTAGTGAGTTTAAAAAACCCAACTTAGATTCTGTGATTTAATAGTAGGATCTGAGCTTCAGGTTTCTGGTAAGCCAACTACAGCCTCACACTAGTCAGAATCACACCACCAGGAAATTTTTACAATAGTGCTTGTAAGTGAATGCCAGAATTTCAGATGTGCTCACTAACTGTACAATGAACAATGATATTGGCTCATTGCCAGAGATAGATGGTAAAAGTAATGGTGCAGAAACAGAATAAATGTTAAATAAATACTTCTGTATTTGGAAAGACAGAGGATGATGTGCTAATATCACATGACAACAAAAGTCCTTTCCAATCCCCTAAGCAATAAAGGAAAATCTGATAAACATTTTTAAACACACATGCCTGGATAACATATTTCCAAAAGTCCTAAAAGGCTTGGCTGAGGAAATCTTTGGCCTGAGTGCCACTATTTATTAAAAAATTAACAATCTAGAAGAATGTTAATGCCAAGCTGTCAGCCGACGGTCAGGGCAGTGTGCGCGTGTGTGTTACACCCAAGTCTTCAACTGCTGAGACACAAAGACTCGTTGCAGCGGGCAGCCTAGGAGGCTGGAGGGCACCCTGAAAAGTAGTTTAACGTCCGTGACTTTACTGCTAGGACCGAGGTCCCGTCGCAGAGGGTAGCCAAACAGGCTAACAGACGCCCCAGTGTGTACAGGAAGAGCTTATTACGCTTCAGATTTTAGCTGCTAGAATTTCATAATTCCTTCGCAGCGGGCAGCCTCGGGGAGACTGAGAAGCGCCCCAACTGAATTTTGCCACCTGGGTGTGACACAAATCCAAACGCCCAAGCTCTCCCTATATCTGT